GATGAATATTAACCTTGCCGCCGCATTTTGCACTCTTTGTAACTTTTTGATTTGATAATCTGGCAGCCCAAAATATAAACTATTGCAGTAGTCGATACGACTATAAATTAATGCATGAATTAAAATGTCAATCGATTCTTGTGTTGAATATTTCCTTATTCTACGTAAATTATATAGGTGATAAAAAGCTGTACTACAGGTTTTATTTATATGAGTGTTCATTGTTGGTGATGGGTCTAGCCACACCCCTAAGTTCTTAACTACTTTACTTGGTGTAATCTGGTCGTTTCCTACACTGAGGTGCGTAGTTGTTACTTTGGCCAGTTGTTGTTTTGTGCCAACAAGTATCATCTCAGTTTTATCTGAATTCAATTTAAGTTTGACATCTTTCATCCAATTGTGGATAGTATTCCATTCACTCTCACGCAAAACTGCCTATTTTTTGTCGCGTTTGAATGAAATAAGTGGAAGTTTCGAAAAGATAATGCCAGTCTCTGGATCGTTTTGAAGTAATTTAAAGTTTTTAAGAATAATGGATTTGACTGAGTGGTTGTGAGGGTGAAACGTGAGAGTGAATGGAATGCGGTCGGACAATGAACGACCTTGAATGTTTTAAATGCGCTCGCGGACGATGCAAAACTTGTCCTTTCATTCGCAACGCTGAGAAAATATCGGGACCCAAGCGATTCATCACGATCACCAATCACTTCACGTGCACCTGCGCCAACGTAATATATTGCATAACATACACTTAATGCAAAAAAGTTATACATCGGCGAAACAGGAAGACGACTAGGTGACCGATTTCGAAAACACCTTCGCGACGTAGAAAGGAATGATAAGGACATCAAAACCAGTCGCTGGACACTTTAATTTACCTTACATTTAGGCAACACGGAAAGCGGCAAAACTCTTGAACACAAGTTTATCTTTCAAATCGGCACTCTTAATCCCACAGGTATCACCGAACGCTTTTCATTCCACTAATTTATTGGTTTTTTTCTCGTCGCTCTGTTCCCGTCAATGGCGTAGCTCCGCTTTCTGAATATAAACCCACATACAACCCACAATTCCTCCATTCGCTCTGACGAAAGGCTAACGCTCGAAACGTCAGCTTTGTTATTCGTCAGGTGGCCAATTTATAATTTCAACTTAGTTGATATAACCAAATTACTATATTCACAAGATTGCTGATCCGGATAGATGTTATGGACGCAAAGATGGTTTTGTACTTGGTTGAAAACAGCTTTTTCAGCCAGCTTTGACATAAACGACAAGTTACTGACTAGTCTGAAATTTTGAAATATGTTGATGTCGGCGCCAGGCTTCTTCAATAACGGAGTAACTAGAGCCTCCTTCCATACTCCAGGGAAAACCCTAGTCCTAAGGGACTTGTTAATTAACAGTGTGATTACAGGTAGAAGCTCGTCACATTTCGCAATTAGCTTTGATGGCACTGGGTCCAATGGACAAGATTTCCTGGATGAGTGTTGTAGGAGGGCTTTGACCTCCTCCTTTGTGAGATCATTAAACTCCTCATAATAACATCAGGTGGAAGAAGAGGAGGAGTAGGTCTAAATTGGACGGAAACTCCTTCAGCACCAAGATGACTTCGGATATCGGATATCTTTTTAACAAAGAAAGATCTTAAGTCATTAACAAAACATGAAGCATCAATAGAAGTTGACAATCTATTAGAAGTTGGATTTTTCAGCAAATAGTTTACCGGGTCGTGACTATTTTCAGCAATGAAATCCATGTAGAAATCAGCTCGTGCTTTATCCATTAATGCAGTTGTTAAGTTCCTTTTCTTTTTATGGCGGTCGACCTGCAAGTGCTGCTCTACCAAATATCCTTTTGACTTGCTTGTGGCTCTTATGGTTCTTGTTCTTATCGCTCCGAAACCATACGGTGAAACCATATGACTATACAGATTGTAGTGTTTCTTTTGGTTTTCTATGAGAAAACCAGCAAAGAAATGGCCATGTGTTCTTCAGTCCGTCGTGTTGTGTCCGCCATTTTGGGAACCTTGCTGTCGTGACAAGAACAACGAAGAAAAGGACCTTTGCTAAAAGTAGGATACCCCACTACAGCAATCACTCCGCGATGTTCAATATTGAAATTATTTGCTCCCATGGAGATATTCATCCTCATCCTGGTCCGAGCCGTGT